GGCACGGATGGGCAGAAGCCTTTGCAGGTATCAGAAGTTCCCACATCAAATATATCTGCCCCCATGCGCCTGTTATGCCTGTTACATTAAACATGAACATGGTTATGCCTTCTTGGTTTGATATTGTTGGACTTTCACCAGATTCACAGGAGGATGAAGCTGGAATTAAACAAGCGGCAGAAAATATAAAAGCTTTGATTGATCAAGAGGTGAAGAATGGCATTCCTTCTAACAGAATTATTTTGGGAGGATTTTCTCAGGGAGGAACTTTATCTTTATATACTGCTCTCACCACGCAGCAGAAACTGGCAGGTGTCACTGCACTCAGTTGCTGGCTTCCTCTTCGGACTTCGTTTCCAAAGGTAGCCTGGTTGGTGCATACAACGTGAGATTACTGAGCTAAGAGGTTGCAGATAATGTTGGGGATAGAACCATTCTTTTTTTTTTTTATTAAGACAGTTTATTTTTAGAACAGTTTTAGGTTTGCAGCAGAGTTGGGCAGAAAGTACAGAGTTCCCCTCTACCTCATGTGCCCACACGAAATCTCCCCATTATTGACTTTCTCCCCAAGTAGAGTATTTATTACAATTCGTGAACCTCCATTGACACATCATCATCCAAAGTCCATAGCAGTCATCTTTTTTTAAAAATGATTTTCTTAGACGCTTGTAATGTATTACTAGGCCTTATCTGTACACAATACTGTCTTTATTGTGAATTTCATAGCATGGAATAAGAAGCTATATTGTCATAAGTCTTATATTTGGAGGGATTGATACATTTTAGGATGTATATGAAAATTAGGGCTATTTTTAACATATAGAAATATTTACTTTTGAATGTTCAGTATATTCAGTGTTTGATATGAGAATTTCACCACAGAAAGCGATTTCTAAATATTCAACAATGAAGCAATGTATACAATATATGGAAGGCATGGACATTATTTCATTTTCACATTCATTTTAAAATCTAGGGTTTTTTCTTGTCACTGTAGTAACTCTTTGGTGTCTTGCACATAGTAGGTATTGTTTATTAATCCCTTTATTTAAATCATGGTTTACATAATGTGTACTAATAGTTATTGACTACCTTTCATGGCAAAATAGCCCCGTGAATAAAACGACCCAAAGTACTCAAAAAAAAAAAAAAAAAAAAGATAACCACTAAAATATAAATATGAATCAAGGCATAGTCTGCTTCAAGGAACTGATTTATTGGGAAGATATATGTTATAATACAAGGAAGGTGATCATGCATCTTACAAAAATTTATATACAGGGATGTGGTGAGTATAGCGATGAAATAAATTTTATTGATTTGGCCAAATATAACCTACAATGTAAGGAATAACATGTTGTATATGCGTATCTATAGTTTTAAATGCCTGGTACAGTGCTATATACATTTTAATAAAAATGCTGTTTTTTGTTTTGTTTTTGTAGGGTCCTATCAGTGGCACTAATAAAGATATTCCTATACTCCAATGCCATGGAGATTGCGACCCTCTAGTTCCCCTGTTGTTTGGTTCTCTTACTGCTGAAAAACTAAAAACATTGGTTGATCCAGCCAATGTAACCTTTAAAACCTATGAAGGCATGATGCATAGTTCATGTCAACAGGTAGGTGTCTGGAAGCAGTGATCAAAGCAACTTCTTTCTTGTGATGTTTTCGAGATAATTAATGTTTGACTGCTTGGGAATTTAAAGGCGTTAATGAATTCATATTGAATCATAGCATTCATTAGATGGAAGTTTATTCAATTTAATTCAAATATCTACTGATTACATATTACACACAGGCACTGTCCATAATTCAAAGATGAATGATAAACTTTCTCTTTTATTAAAATTTAAGATCAATTAAAATGAAAATGTAATAGGAGTAAAAGTTACATATCCAAGTAACTATATGGAAAACTGAATGTGATGTGTGTTATATTAGAAGTTTTAAAATGTGCCCTAAAAAACTGAGAAGAGAGATTAATTTTATCTTAGGAGGCACTGAGATAATGATGAAAGAGCTAGATTTCAAAGAATGGTAGGATTTATGTTACAAGTGTCTAGGAAAAGAACTGTAGGACAGGAAAGGCAAGCAGTTTGGTCTGGCTGATGTCCTAACATTTGATCGTAGAGAGCTTTTGTGTTGCGCTGAAGAGGGACTTATTCTTTAGACAGCAAGAAGCCATCAGTGTTTTTTGGGATTGAAGTGAGACATGGTCTAATCTGCATTCTGGAGACAGGTGAGGTGGAATCCAGTAGGATTTAGAGATTGATTCTAGGGGTGTAGAAAAGAAGGAAGAATCAAAGAAGCCTTAGATTTCTAGCTTAGGTACCTAAGAAGATGGCATCAAAAGTAGGGGCAAGGAACAGTTTTAGAGGAAAAGGAGATCAAGAGTTTAGTGAGCGTATTGAGATTGATGTAGCCTCATGATTACAAAACAGAATGTTGGAAATATTTGAAGCTCATGCCTATAAGTGGAGATTTGGAATAATTACTAATATTGTTAATCAGTGAACGATTTTCTTGGGAGAACATCATGAGAAAAAAAGCTGAGGGATAGAACTTCAGGAAATACATTAAGATTTAGGCTAAGAGAAAAGTAGTTACGTGTGAAGAGTATGGGAAAAGAGAATTTCCGAGTGCGAGAAGCTGTGATGTATTTCAGAGAAAGATTAAGGAGAAGTAAACCAGGAAGACGCTATTCTTTATTTTTTTGAGTCAGAGTCTCATCACCCAGGCTGGAGTGCAGTGACAAGATCACTTCTGCCTTAGCCTTCCAAGTAGCTAAAACTAGGTGTGTGTCACTATGCCTGGCTAGAAACTATGCAATTTTAAGCCACTTGTGACCTTGGAAGCTTGAGGAACTAGAGCCAAGCTGCAGAGAAGTGGATAGGAAAATAAGGAAGTAATGGTAATATGTACAGGCCTTTTAAAAAATATGTTTTTATTTTTTAAGAGACAGGGTCTCACTGTTGCCTGGGCTGGACTGCAGTGGCGTGGCGTGATCCTAGCTCACTGTAGCCTCAAACTCCCAGGCTCAAGTAATCCTCCTATCTCAGACTCCTGAGTAGATGAAACTACAGACGTACATCACTATGCCTGGCTAATATTTTTTTGTAGAAACAGGTTCTCATTATGTTGCCCATTTTGATCTTGAACTCTGTCTCAAAACTTCTCCTGCCTTGCCCTTTTTTAATGAGATGAGAGAAAGAGACCTTTAAATGGAGAGAGGGAGGAAGAAAATGGAATAAAGAGAAGATAGTTGGTGAGGGGAATCTTCGTGGGATCATATTAAGTCCTGAGATGGGTAGTGTTTGCCTTACAAGAAGAGAAAAATGTTTTGAATCAGGATAGAAAAGGATGGATTAATATTAATAGGAAGTGTTTAATTAAGAGAGTATTTGGGAACTCACATTAGATACATTTTTTATCTTTTCAGTAAAGTAGGAGATTTAATCACTTGATAAGAATGCAGGAGACCCAGGCAGGGTACGGTGTCTTACACCTGTAATCCCACACGTTGCAAGGCCAAGACAGAAGGACTATTTGAGACCAGCCTGGGGAATATGGTGAGATCTCTTCTCTACAAAAATAAAAAAATTAGCTGGGCATGGTGGCACATACCTGAACTCCCAGCTACTTAGGAAGCTGAGGCAGGATTGCCTGAGCCCAGGAGGTTGAGGCTGTGGTGAGCTGTGATCATTTCACTACATTCCAGCCTGGTGACAGAGTGAGACCCAGACTCAAAAACAAAAGCAAAAAACAAAGAATGAAAGAGGCCTGAGGAGGTGTGGGGGCTTTAAAGGCCTAGAATAAAAGTTGATTGCTAAGCAGTGAGATGCTCACACTAGCACTGTTTTACTGCCACTCAGCCCAGTTTAAATTATTTGCTTTGCTGCTGGGCTCTGTGGCTCAGCCTGTAATCCTAGCACTTTGGAAGGCCAAGGTGAGTGAAGTGCCTGAACCCGCTGGTTCAAGACCAGCCCAGGCAACTTGGCGAGACCTCATCTCTACAATAAATAAAAAACTAGCCAGGTGGGGTAGTGTACGCCTGTAATTCCGGCAACTTGGAAGGCTGAGGCGGAAGGATTGCTGGAGCCCAGCAGGTGAACGCTGTGGTGGCCGTGAGCATGCCACTGCACTCCAGCCTGGGCGACAGAGTGAGACTCCAACTCAAAAAGATAAAATTATTTGCTTTAGGAACAGAGAAAGGGGATAGTAATATGATTTATCCAGAAAGACATGGGTGCCTGGGAGCCTCGGATGTTCCCCTGTTGATATGAAACATTGAGGTATTAAATCCAGAAAAGGGAGGGCAGAGGAAGCGCTGGCACCCCGAATGTAGTCCGGAGGGATTGTGGTCTAGAGCAGGGGTTTTTCTCATGGGCTTTGCATCACAAGGATGTAGAAGCTCCATTGATGAGTCCCTGTATAGTTAATTTTGAAGCCGCTGGACTGAATGGGCAGGAGCAGAAAGTGAGGGAGAATGAGGACAGTGGAAGGTGGTGTCACAGCAAACTTTTCAGGACTTCAGGGTGTTGTGAAATATAACACTTTCATGCTGTGGCTCTTTTCTGTGTGATTACATTGTAAGGTCTGAGTCTCTGCCTTGCTGATATGTGGAACTGTGAGTGAGGCTAAGGCCTTGAGATACAAGAGCTGATAGCAGGGAGTAGGTTTGGGAAAGGCGAGAACACTGAGCCAGGTACAGGAAGCCTCCAGGAGAAAGTTTATTCTGCAGTAAACCTTTGATATATGAACGTTTACATCTTTTCAGGCACATCTTAGGTGCATTCTCTCTTTTAAATAGTTATTTTGAAAGGCACAAAATAGTTTACGCTATGGATTTTAGCACTTCATTCAAACGAGAGAATGGTAAAAGCTAGGCTTTGTCACTGATACTTGTTGCCAGTAACTGTACACTGAGTCTTCTCAGTATGGGTACTGCCGCATCTAAACCTTCCTGCCCCACAATGTTTTATTTTGTTCAAGTATAAGAAAATGCGGACCATTTTCATGGAAGTAGGTACCAGATGGAAGCTATAAGTTCAGTGTACAATAATACTAATGATCACAAAAAATATTCTGAAATTTCTGTTAGAGCCTTACTTCTCTTTATGTCTTTTTATTTAATTGTCGTAAAAATGTGGTTTCGCCTTACCTATGCACGCCACGGATTTGGTTAGTGGCATTTTAGGAGCATTTAATTTTTGGTTTATACAACTGCCTTCCTATTAAATCGCTTTATTCCAAACAGGAAATGGTGGATATCAAGCAATTCATTGATCAACTCCTACCTCCAATTGATTGACATCGCGAAGAGGCCTTGTGTCGAAGTACACCAGCGTCATAGCAGAGTAGAAGCCTCCTGTACCCAGTCTTCGATCCCCTGACGTCCGCAGTGTTCAGATGTTTTGCAAATCATGCCAGTGGCACAGACGACATAATGTCTCCTTGTGGGAAATTTACGATCTCTTACGTTTCTATACTTGTATTCTTATAATAAGATCCAGAGCATACTAGTATTAAAATAGGTGAAGCGGCTAGCTTCTTTTTTCTCTAATGTAATTCAGCAAAAGAATAAAATACTGCAACCAAATTTTTTTCTTAAATCACTTTAAAATTGCTAGTATGCTTAATGAAAGTTTGTTCTGGTATAAATGAGAAGTGGAAATATAAGCGATGTGGGCATGCTGTGGCTTAGTCCATGGATTTATTCCAACATCGCTTCGTCACCATGCAGTGTCTGTCTTTTTATATATGTGCTGATATATAAGTAATGATTATAGTACATCATAAAAATGAGGTGATATGACATTATTCCTAATATTAGGGGTAATGATGTTAAGTGTCAATAAGAAGCAATATTGTTCTCTTCAATTAATGGCCCTTTTATTTGGGGACCAGGCTGTTCTTTCTCCTGATACTGTTTCTGCTTAATATTATTTTCTCTCAAGAAGCATTTTTAAAAGTTCTTTCTTTATTGTCCCTCATAACAGACCAAATACTGTCTTCCTGCCATAGACATCAACTGTCAATACATGCTATAATTTGACATTCTGAATCACAGATAAGGTATTTAAAATCTATTTATACTTTATAAGAATCAAGACATTACTTAAAAACTTCCTGCACTATTTATTTCAAATGGCTATACCTTAGTCCAAATTTAAACCTATTTAGTTTTTAGAACCTCTAATACAGGTAACAAATATTCTGTGGTCTTATTTTTCTGTAAGCAACTGAAAGACTAATTGTATTCTAGTATGTTCTGAAATATTTTAAGACTGATTTTAAAAACTATTTCTAAGATGATTTCATCTTCTCATAGGAAAACATTCAAGTTTACTTATTTTGTACGTATGTTTGAAACCAACTACTGTAGAAAATAAGCAATCCATTAAAAAAAGTTATTTGTCTCTGCCAGTGGACTTATTTGAAGTTTTCATTTCAGTCAGATGATTTTTTTATTAGTTTTTTGTGCAAACATAATAATAGCAGTCATTTGATTTCAAATTTTCAAAATGTCCAGTTTAATGATAAAAAATTATTTGAGAACAAATTCATAGGTAATAAAGCTTAGTTATACCTATTTACATGTAGTTACCATACAGTTTAACGTGTAGCAAAAATGTATGCTCGACATTTCTGTGTTAATTTTTCTGCTGTATTCCAACTGACCAAAACAATGTTAAGAATGCATCTTTATAAGTGGGTGCTAATTGATAATGGAAGTAATTTAGTAATGGAAGTATATAGGATGTTAATAATGAAGCCATATGTTTATGTCTGGATTTAAGAATTTTAAACAATCATATAGTAAGTTATTTTGCTTTACCCTGAGGAACATAAACTGTTCTTTCAGTTATATATGTCAGCAAGATTTTACTTAGGCAAGAAATATTCCGTTGAAATGTTGTGTTGTAATGTGGAAAAAAAATATAAATGTTTTTCACGGTTTCTATCAATGTGAAATAAAATTTAATTCTGACTTTTCTGTGACTTTGAGTATTGTTTTAACATTTGGAGAGAAATAGCAAAAGGAGAAAAATAACAATGTAATCACAGGGATATACATTGGGGGAGAGAAATTTTGATGCTGGTGTGGTTGGCTTAGAATGGAATCAGGCATGCTAAGGAATCTCATGTTACTCTATTTAGTCTTTTAAATTTTCCTAAGTTTGGCTTTCAGTTTTCTTAAGCTATTTAAGGAAGTTTTATTTGATGTCTTCCTTTTGTCTTTTTCTTTAATGTGCTATTCACTGGGATTTTTATTTAATTAAGAGGGCATCACTCCTTTGCCCAGACTGGAGTGCAGTTGCTTGATTGTAGCTCACTGTAGCCTCCAACTCCTAGGCTCAAGTGGTCCTCCTGCCTCAGTCTCCCAAGTAGCTAGAATTACAGGCATGCACCACCTTACCCAGCTAATTTTTTATTTTTTGTAGAGACCAGGGTCTTGCTGTGTTTCCCAGGCTGGTCTCAAACTCCTGGCCTCAAGTGATCCCCCCAGCTCAGCCTCCCAAAGTGCTGGGATTACAGGCATGAGTTACCACACTGAGCTCAATTTTTAAATTAGTATCAAAAATTAATTATCCAAATAGTTTTTCTCCTTTTATTCCGACATTGACTTCTAACTTTTCACAATACAAGCATCCTTTCTGTTCTGTTAAGCTGTCCTTCAGCTTCTGCTTTGACTATTTAATATGATCAGCTCATCTTTTTGTGAGTCTGCTTATTCTATTTTTGGATAGTCCTAATGGTAAGAGAGTTCTGTACCAAAAGTATTGTGTCTAACTTCAGTTATTTTTAGGTTTATCTTTCACAGCAGCACCCTATTTAATGTGACATCTTTATTTCATTATTATTTTAAAAATACTGTGCTCACAATTAAATGTCAATGCTTGGTACTGTTACTATCTATACTGGTAGATAACAATAGTAGTTGTATGTGTAAGTAATTAGGAAATTTGTCTACTATGCAGCCAGGCTTATTGCTACTTCTTATAAGTAGATAATACTTTTTTTTTTTGAGTTGCAGTCTCACTCCATCTCCCAGGCTGGAGTGCAGTGACACGCTCACAGCCACCCTAGTGTCAACCTGCTGGGGCTTTGGCGATCCTTCTGCCTCAGCCTTCCAAGTAACTGGAACTACAGGCATGCACTACCATGCCCAGCTAATTTTTATTTATTGTAGAGACGAGGCCTCACCAAGTTGCCCGGGCTGGTCTTGAACCCGCGGGCTCAGGCAGTCCACTTGCCTCGGCCTCCCCAAGTGCTGGAATTACAGGCTGAGCCACCAAGCCTGGCCTTAGATATACTTTTAACCCCCTACTAACAACTATCATTTTATTTTGTAGAAATTATTAAAAAGTGAAGATGTAATTGGTTAAACATTTAGCATATGCTGGGCACTGTACTAAGCATTTTATATTTTTTAACCATATATTCTTATCAACTTTATCTTCATTTTATAAAAGAGAAAACTGATGTCTAGAGAAGTGAACTATTTACCTATGATTTCAGAGCTATTACATGCCAGAGCCAGGATTCAGGTTCTGGCTTAAATGCTTTTAAACACACCAAAAATGTGTACTTTTTGTAATACAGAACACCTACAAATTCTAAGAAAAACTATGATAAAAATCAGCTCTCTAAAGAAATTGTAATGTCCAGTGGCCAGAGGGAACTAAAAGAAAACTGAAAACACTTAACATTGGGACTTAAAGGAGGTAAGGTATGTAAGTAAGAAACCATTATGGAACCGTGACCCTTACAGGCAAACTAGGAAAATGAAAAATCTGACCCCCAGCATGTGAAAGTGAAGGGAAACAGACTTGTTTGTTAGAACCTTGGCTCTGGATTGTAGAGGTAGGGGATCTTTCCTTAAAAATTTTTAACAAGAGGTTTGTCTTAGGTACATTTAGATTTTGAATTTGTTCTATTTATATGGTCTGGAAACATATACTTTCATATTAACATCAGGAATCTCCCTGGACTAGGCTAGGTGCGGTGTATCTATAATTTAAGCACTTAGGTATGCCCAGGCAGGTGGACCACTCAAGGCCAGGAATTCAAGACTGGCATGGGCAACACAGTGAGACTCTGTCTCTACAGAAAAATGAAAACATTTAGCTGAGTATGGTGGCATGCACCTGTAGACCCAGTACTCGGGCTGAAGTGGCAAGATTGCCTTAGCCTAGGAATTTGAGGCTGAGTGAGCTATGAATGTGCCAACTGCACTCCAGCCTGGGCAACAGAGCTAGAAACCTATCACACAGACACAAAAAAAATTCCCTGGAGTGGCTCTGCTCCAGTCCCTGAAGAGGCAAACACAAGTACTTTATGAAGAGTGGCATCATCCAAGTGTTACATTTGAGGCTGCATAAATTTACCTTGTCAAAAGTAAGCTCAAACCCCCCCAAATCTCACACCATATGCAGGAACAGTCTACCTACCATGTAGGAATAACAGGTGATCCAAAAGATAATGAGGATAGACTCATAGACTCAATAATAGACTCTCAGGACCTTTAAGAAACAGAATTTTTAGAGCATGAGAATGTAAAATAAAGATGAAAGGAAAGTAAGTGAAAGAGAATGACAGTATAAAAATGCAGAATTGAAAAAGTTTCTGAAAATGAAAACCAGTGACTCCAGTGCAAAATTTCAACTGGGCGTGGTGTTACTTGCCTGTGGTCCCAGCTACCCCCGTATAGGAGGATAACTTGATCTCAGGAGTTGGAGGCTGTAGTGAGCTATGATCACACCACTGCACTCCAGCCTGGGCAACAGAGCAAGACACCATCTTTAAAAAAAAAATAAAAATCTCAACAGAGACATCTTGACAGCCCAATATTGGATACAACCCAAATGTCAAATAGAAGTGGACCAGCTAAGTAAGCTATTGAACTTTTACACAATGAAATGTTTTAGGCAGGCACTGTACGACAACGCTGTATTCACTTGGAAAGGATATGTTATCAGATGAAAAAAATGTAAAAAACGGGAAAGCTTGAGGGAAATAAGACCATATGTTTGACTTGGTTAGAATTTGCATTTTTATAAAAAACCACTGAAAGGATACCGAAGGGTAATAAAATTCGTTACCTTTAGATCATGAATGGTGAAGAAATTCGACGGGCAAAGACGAGTGGGAGGGAGCAAGCCTGTCCTTAGGATACTTTGTTTATTCAGATTTTTGAGGGTGTTAGAGTATAACATAAAATTTGAGCTATTCTGATGTGTACACTTTGGTGACATTAAGGACATCAACATTGTGTAATTGTCACCATCATTCAGCTCCAGAATCTTTTTTGGTTAGATGTGTTATGAGGTTTGTTTTCTATTTGTGTGTGGCTATTGTGAATGCGTTTTTTTTTTTTTTTTTTGAGTCAGAGTCTCATTGTCGCCTAGGCTGGAGTGCTGTGTCATGATCACAATGATCACGGCTCATGGCAGCATCAACCTCCTGTGCTCAGGTGATCCTTTCACCTCAGCCGAGTGGCTGGGACTACAGGTGCATACCACCACACCTGGCTAATTTACTTATTTTTATTTTTTTAGGGACAAGGTCTGGCCA